GTTTGGTGTGGGAAGTCCTTCTGTATACGTGTTGCTTTTATTGATTAATAAAGAAGCTGCTTTTGGCCAAGGGCTTAACAGAATATAGCCAGGCTGGAAAAGATATATAGAGAGAATAGGCGGAGTCAGTGAGCAGCCAAGGAGCCGCCAGAGGAGAAAGATGTGAGCCACCAGAACCTCGCTGGTAGGCCACGAGCCTCATGGTAAAATATAAAATAATAGAAATGGGTTCATTTAAGATAGCAATACACTTAAGTGATTGGCCAAGCAGTGATTTGAATAATATAGCTTCTGTGTCATCATTTTGAGTTTGGGTAGCTGGGAACAGGCAAGCAGCCTCCAACAACAGAGGCTTATAGAAAAAAAACTCCAAAAGCTTGCAATAAACTTGTTAGTTGATCCAGGACCACATCCTAAGAATGTGTTTCTTTAAATCCCACAGTGGGAACTTTCCTTTACCAAATCACTTGCTTCTAAGCAATCTGAAGGGACCTGCACTATGCTATCAAATGAACCTGAGACTGAAGGACAGGGATTTTCCTAAATCCCCGAACATCAGCTGTCTGAAGGCATTGTAATCCCAGAGACTGAGTCACACCTTGGAAGCAGCTTAGGCACTAAAGATTGTTACAACACTCAGGTTGGTTTCGTCTGCTCATGTCAGTCCCTGAAATGCAAGACAGGAAAAAAAATCAATTGAGGGTCACTGAGAAGGCTCAGCGGGTAAAGGTGCTTGCCGCCAAAATGACCCTAGCTCTATCCCCAGGACCTACATGGTAGGAGAGAACCCACTAGTTGCCTTCTGACTTCCCCATGTGCACTGTGATATTTGCTTGCACAAACACACATACACGTAATAAAATAAAAGTCAAAAAAAAAAATAGGAGAAAAAAAAATCAAAGCATTCTAGCAAAGAACGTGAGAATCTAGTCCCCGGGGAGACATCCATGGCTATCGGAATGTAGGCCACTGACACACAGCGTTTGGAGGAAAGTGTTGTCAGCAGGCTTTGGTGTTAGGGCAGTTGCCTTCTTTCCATTCACATGCTCAAGAAAATGATGGCCTTGTTGTAGCAACCTGTGGGACTTCACTTGGCAAACAGATCCCCACCCCGGCTTGAACATCTATCTTGAGGTGTTTGGTGATTACCTCACGGGCCCACACCTGGAGACCTGTCATAACGCTGACAAGTCCAAACGATCCCTCCTCCATCTGCCCAACATTCTCGCCCTAACACCCAAACACAGCAGAATACTTTTAAAGAGTGGCTTACCTCCAAGAAGCAACTTCGCCCTACTCCTATGCCCTCCTATATATGAATTCCTGCCTTTAAAAATAAATCCCAGCCTGCAGCTGGAGAGAGGGCTGCTCTTTTAGAGGACCCAGGTTCAATTCCCAGCACCCGCATAGCAGCTCACAGCTGTCTGCAACTCCGGTGCCAGAAGACCTGGCACTCTCACACAGAGATGCATGCAGGCAAAACACCAGTGCACATAATCCTACTAATGAAAACATTAAAAAATAAATTCCATTCATTCTGAATTCTGCTATAAAATTAATTTACTTAACCAGGTGTGGCGGTGTACACCTTTAATCCCAGCACCCAGGCAGTTCTGAGTTTGAGGCCAGCCTGGTCTACAGAGCAAGTTTCAGGACATCCAGGGCTACACAGAGAAAACCTGTCTTGAAAAACAAGACAACAATAAATTTATCTACTTTAAAGAACGGCTTGGGAGCTTGAGAGATGGCTCAGCTATACCTGCGTTCGATTCCCAGGACCCATGTGAGATAACTCACAACTGCCTGCCTCTAACTCTAGCTCCAGGGGGTCCTGAGGCCCCAACCCTCCTCGGGCACATGCATAGACACACATATATACATATAATGTAATGTAAAAGTAAAAGAATAAAAAGAAAAGAATAACTTCGGGGACTGGCAAGATGGCTCAGCAAGGACACCTGCTGACTTGAGCGCTATCCTCAAGGCCCACAAGGTGGAAGGAGGGAGAACTCACTCCCACAGGTTGTCCTCTGACCTCCACCTGCACACTGTGGCATGTGCCCTCCCTCAGCCTCCATCACATGTTAAATGTGACTCAAAGCATTGCTCGGAACCAGGTTTGGTGGTGAACATCTTTAATCCGAGCACTTGGGATGCTCAGACAGGAGGAATGTGGTGGGCTTGAGGTCAGTCAGGGCTACATAGCAAAGGCAGAGCAGCCTGGGCCATAGAAATCGATCCAATCTGCAAAAGGAAAATGAGTTAGATGAAGTCACTCCGCACTGAAGAACCTTTCAGGTCCTTTCACCTCATAAACTCAAAATGCACAGCAAAGCAGTGACGGGTTCTTAGCATTCATCAACTTTTTTTCAAGGTCTTTACAAATATCCTTTGCCAGGTGGCCACGGCACAAGTCTTGTATCCACATGCCCCCCCCTCCAAAAAAAAAAAAAAAAGACTAGGCACAAACCCTCATATCAAGGCTGGGTGAGGCAACCCGGGAGGAAAATGGTCCCATGAGGCAAAAGTCAGACATTCCCACTTCAACACACAACTATAAGATATATGCAGAGGGCCTAGTGTAGACCCATGCAGGCTGTGATTGTCACTTCAGTCTACGAGCCCGAGACCAGCATCGTTGATTTTGTGAGCCGTTTTCTCCTGGTGTCCTCTAACCCTGCCTCTACATTTTACTTTTACTATTCCCTGAATTTTGTTTTTTATTGCGTGTATGCAGGCACCATGATGTGCATGTGGAAGTCAAATGCCAACCTGGCTCTCTTCCCAGCACATGGATCCTGGGGCCTGAACTCTAGTTTGGAGCCATCTTGCCGGTGCTCCTTACATCCTAATGTGCATTCGGTCTGTAATATCCTCCTTCCTATGCTTTAAGGACTGCTTCAGGCATGGTATTCTTTGGCCTTCTGTGCTCTCCCAAAGCAATATACTGCTTTATGCCGGGACTCATGAATAGAAGCAGCTCCTTCAAAGGAAAGGGTGACCTCTAGCGCTTTTTTTCTCCCTGAGGCAGGGTCTTACTGTGTAGCTCAAGATTGTAGGCAGACTTTTCTGTCCCACCAATCCAGTCCCAAAAACCACAGGGAGACTTATTATGGAAGCTCGGCTAATAGCTTAGGCTTGTTTCTAACTAGCTCTTCTATCTTTTACATGACTCAGTTAGCTTTACTTTGTAATAATGCCCATGCTGCTTCCTCTGCATCTGCCTGGCCACTGACTTTCCGTGTCTCTGCTCTTCTTCCCAGCATCCTTGCTATTGGTCATTCAGTTTTTTTTTTTTTTGAAATAGGCTTTCTCTGTGTAACAACCCTAGATGTCTTGGAACTAGCTCCTGTAGACCAGACCAGGCTGGACTCAAACTCACAGAGATCTGCCTACCTCTGCTTCCCGAGTGCTGGGATTAAAGGCGCTTATTTTTTAAGATTTATTTATTATGTAATCAGTGTTCTGCCAGAAGAGGGCACCAGATCTTCTTGTTATAGATGGTTTGAGGCACCATACGGTTGCTGGGAATTGAACTCATGAAAGAACTGAACAATGGAAGTCAGTCAGCGCTCTTAACGGCTGGGCCATCCCTCCAGCCCAGCCATTCAGCTTTTTATTAGTCCAAGTGACAAAACTTCACAGTATACAAAGATTATTCTACAACTCAGGATGGTCTATGACTTCCCTTTCTCCAGCCTCAGTCTCCCGTGCCGGGCTTTCTATTTAGGAGTGTGCCCCAGAGGGTAGCTCTCAACGTGTCTGGCAAGCTCTTTAACACTCAGATAAAATTCCAGTCCTAAAAAAAAAAAAAAAGCCCAGATTTGGGATGGAGAGATGGCTGAGCTGTTAAATTTGCTGCTCTTGAAAAGGGCCTGGGTTTGGTTCCCAACAACCACATCAGCTCACAACCACCTGCATTCAACGCCCATCCCAGAGGACCCAATGCCATCTTCCGGGTGCCAAGGGCACCTGAATTCACACATACACACATATACATATAACTCAAAAAATAAAAAATTAAAAAAAAAAAAAGAACTTGGACACAGAGGCAAGAGATCTGAATTTATTTACAATCAGGTTGCTTACCATCTATGTCTTAAGACATTTATTAAAAATAAAAAAAAAGACAATACCTACTCAACGAAGTGAAAATGGAGTAAGCCATACTTTAATGGGGTATTTATGGGCTAGGAATAATTGTTGAGCAGGAGGATACCAGTAATACAATAGTTAGAGGAATACTTAACTTTTGTTTTTTGAGACAGGATCTCATGTCATGTTGTAGCTCAGGCTAACTTAACTTGCTATGTAACCAAGGCTGGTCCTGATCCTCCAGCCTCCCTCCCAAGTGTTAGGATTCCAGGCATGAGCCACTGCACTGGAACAGTCATTTATGACTCAGAAATCAGTTTAGCCTAGTGGCAGTCTGACCAGTCAAGAATCATGTCACTAGGGCTGGGGAAGCAGTGTGGTCGGTAGGGCGCTTGCCTAGCACACACACAGGCTCTGGGCTGGATCCCGGGCAACTGGGAGTGGTGGTGCATACCTTTAATCAGGAGTTAGGAAGATCAGGCTGGTGAACTGGATCATCAGGTCAAGGTGCTTGTCAGCCATGCTTGATGAAGACAAACAGTTGTGGGAAGAGAACACGGGCCCCAACCACTGTCTTCAAACCCCATATGCATGCCAAGGAAGGTTCCCTCTGCCCCAGTAAATGTGGTTTTTTATTTTTGTAAAGAGCTATGTCATCTTGCCTGTAATCCCAGCAGTAAGGCAGTTAGTAGCAGGGAGGCGGTGAATAAGGCCAGCCTGGACTATACAGCAAGCTCCTACTTTAAAAGAAAAGAAAGGAGAGCAGGAAAACACATTCAATGTTGACAAGACCCCTCATCTTCTTCCTTGGGGCAGGTCCGATAGAAAGGCTGACACTCTTACTGGTCACAATGCCACATAAACCCCTGGGAAGAATTCACTGAAAACTCGGATAACAAAAAAGCTCAAAGCACTCAACATTTATTCCAGCATGGCCTCATTCACCCTTTCTTGTGAGCATCCTTCCTTTACTGCTTACAATCAGTGAATTGGACTAAGCAAGTTCTCAGAGACGAACACTGAGTCCAGAATGATTCCCTTTCGCCCTCTGTTGGCCTGGGAGCAGAGCAACAACACTACCTGAGTGGTAATTCAAGATCTCCAAGCATTCCTGAGAGAACCAGATCCGGCTCCTGCTTGTGTAGTAGAAGTCACACTCAGTTTGTGTCTATTACCTTACGGCTTGTATGCACAATATTATCTTGTACAAAGGCTAACTGACCTCCATTCCAAAATAATTAAACACTTTTGTTTCTATATTATATGTAAGGCTGGGGCCCACTTATATAAAGCAGCCAAGCATGCAGTTTCTTTGCAAACACATAATTTTCATCTAAGTTTAAAAGAACAATTTAACTGTGAGTCACATCTCCCAAAGTCTTGGCTCATGTGTAAGAAAACTAATTTATTAAACCTCTGTACACAAAGATGAGCACACCTTTACTGGATTCAAATAATTACAAAAAATAAAAGTGTTATTAAAATTCATGCATGAAAATCTTACAAAAATACCCCAAGCAGGATAAAGCTGCTCATCCCTGATTGTTCTCATTTGGTTGTTGGAATTGAAATGTGAATTTAAAGTTGTTAGAATTTCTTTTAAAAAGTGATATATTAAGTTTCTATATACAGGATAATAGCAAAATGTAGAAAGGGAAAACATTTACAAAAGACATTAATAATAAAAAAACAAAAAAACCTTCACTCTGGACAGATACTCACGATCCACAACTCCTCAACCCGTACCAACCACCTCTGAAGCAGCTCATGAACACACCACTCGGCTGTTGTCAGTGAGAGTAAAACAGCAAACTCACGCCTAGTCTTTCATTCTGTGAAACAGGCTAGAGCTGAGATCACAATAAATCATGGGCATATTCTGAAAGGTGGGAGGGGCACACGGGAAGTGATTTCAATGGCCATCTCAGTCCACTAGAACAACACAGAGCTGCTGCAGACTGTCTTGCAGCAGGTGATGCTGCGGCAAGTGCTCACTCAGAGGCCTTTTTGTTCTTCTGCTGATTTCGGGGTGAATTCTTTAGCAGGCTTCTTATCCTGAGGTACATTCCAGTGGACTCTGCCATGTTCTCAAATTCGAAGGGTGTTATTCCAGCGGCAAACTTGCTCATGTCAGGGACCAGGCTGTGGGTTTTTGAAGCTGCTGAGGGGTGGGTGCCCAGATGAAGGAGCTTCTGGCTGCCTCCATTCCTCACGTCACAGTTCGACACACTGCCATTGTCAAGAGCATCTTCAGGGTCCCCCTCTGTTTCTTCTCCCTCTTCTTTCTGACAGAGCACTGCTGCCCCTGCCGCTGGGCTGGAGGGAGGCTCAGGTCCAGTTGTTTCTGCAGAAGTGGTTGGTCCCTGGGGGCCAGTCAGCACTGGCTTTTCCATGGCCTTTCCTTCTGGAACAGAGAGGTCAAACTCATTTGGACAAGGGGAGGAGGCAACTGAATTCCCAGTTAAAGGTGTGTCCACAGGAACATCAGAGTCACTGTTGCCTCCCTCGGCCTGCTGCAGAGCAGCCCAGATCTGCCTCTGCTGCTCTTCAAGCTCCTCCAGTGTCAGGGTGTCCTCGTCCATGGCTGAAGCTGTGGGTCGGGTCTGGGGTGAGTCACTGGGAGTCAGTGGTGGGGTGCCCTTAGGGAGTGGAGGAGTAAAGAGGGGTGGAGGAGGTGTGCCAGGAGGCAGTGGTGGTTGAAACTGAAAGGCTTTGCTGCTCTGAGAACCATGTGGAACCTCCGTATCTGAAAAGGGAAAGATGCTTTAGAGGGAATCAGAGCATTCCATACAAACTTATTATTTGAACTTGGGGTACCTAGAGAGAGAATGGACCAAAATAACTGTCTTTGAGAAGGCAGAAAAGGGTTAGACGTGGTGGCACATGCCACTAATGCAGGCACTCAGGTAGCCAGCGTGGACTACAGTCTTAAAAACCAGGAAAAGGAAAAAACAGTGGAATGTCTGAAGTCCTGAGGAAGCCCCATCAGGGAGAATGCTCTGGATCTTGGTGCTAAGGAATGTGACATGAGACATGGAGACAGGAGGTGTTCCCAGGAAGGGTGCCATCAATGAGTAGGGAAAACTGCAGAAGAGAAGAGGAAGCTTCACAGAGAAGCCTGCTGTTAGCTGCAGAGTCTTCTCTTCTGCCCTAGTCCTAGGAACCGGGCTCCCTCAAGTCCATCCTTTCCTCTATCACAACGGTCACCACCTTATTCTAGATCCACTGTCAACTGACATATGTCAGGAATAGTGAGCCACCCTCACCCCCGGATTCATTTTCCTTACACCTATCCTCCAAGTTAGCTGGACACCTATTTCTAAAACAGCCGCTTGATCTTATGAACCTTCTTTTCAATGAACACCTTGGACGCCATTCTTAGAAGTCTCGTTATAGCCAAGAATTTCTCATAGCCTGGCCTGATGAAGGTGCAGGCCTCTAATCCAGCTACTGAGGACACTTAGGCAGGACTGTTATATTCAAGTCCAGCCTGGACAACTTACTGTGGCTCCGTTTCAAAACAAAAAGCAGAAAGGAGCCAGGGATACAGCTCAGCAGCAGAGCACTTGCGCAGCAAGTGCGGCAGTAGCAAAGAGGCTTGTTTGCTTTTCCTTGGTTACCTCTACTGTCCAGCTCCCTGTCTGCTGCTAGACTAGTGTGCTACAATCCGTGCTTGTGTGTGTGCATCTCCTATGGCCTCAAATGCTTGTCCTGATTACCTGCTAAGTCCTAGAATTCACTCCTCAAGATCAATTCTAAGTTGCTAACTCTATGGTCTGTAATCGGGTCTGAAACACTATTGTCCTCTATGTACCATTCAGTATATGCTATGTTTTCAAAAAAAGTGACAGCCTGCAATCCCTAAGTGACAGAGTGCTGACAAGGGCAACACTGGAACTAAAAAGAAAAAAAATTATTACTTTTAATAATTTATTTTTTCTTTATGTGCATTAGTGTTTTGCCTGCAAGTATGTGTGAAGAAGGTATCAGATCTTGAGTTATAGACAGTTATTAGTTGCCATGTGGTGCTGACAATTGAACACAGGTACTCTGGAAGAGCAGTTGGTGCTCCTAACTGCTAAGTCATCTCTCCAGCCTGTATTATTATTTTTTGATTTTGACTTTTTATTTTTTGGAGACAGAGTCTCACTATATAGCTTTGGCTGGACTGGAATTTGCTGTAGATCAAGCTAACTTTGAACACAGAGATTCTCCTGCCTCTGCCACCCAGTGCTGGGTGGGATAAAAGGCATGCTACCATGTTTGCCTAAAAATTTAGTATTTTTTGATTATATATATATATACACACACAAACATATATAATTTTTGTTTTTGCATTTTTAAGACAGGGTTTCTCTGTTTAACAGTCCTAGCTATCTTAGAACTAGCTCTGTAGACCAGGCTGGCCTCAAACTCACAGAGATCTGCCTGTCTATGCCTCCTGAGTGCTGGGGTTAAAGGCGTGCACCACCACTGCCTGGCTGATAGAATATTTTTATGTAGCTAGACTGGCCTGTAACTTGAGATCCTTTTGCGTCCACATCTAGAATGCAGGAGTTAAGGCATGTGCCACCACACTTGGTTTTATGAAGTTCTAGAGAATCAAACCCAAGACTTCATGGACTCACTGAGCCACATATTCAGTCTTGCATTTGTTTTTTTTTTGTTTTTTTTTTTTTTTTGGTTTTTCGAGACAGGGTTTCTCTGTGGTTTTGGAGCCTGTCCTGGAACTAGCTCTTGTAGACCAGGCTGGTCTCGAACTCACAGAGATCCGCCTGCCTCTGCCTCCCGAGTGCTGGGATTAAAGGCGTGCGCCACCACCGCCCGGCTCTTGCATTTGTTTTTAAGGATAAATTACACATAAAAAGGAAGAGGCTAGGGGGCTGGAGAGATGGCTCGGTGGTTGGGGGCGTTGCCTGCTCTTCCGGGGGTCCTGGGTTCGGTTCCCGGCGGCCACGTGGTGGCTCACAGCCATCTGTGGTGGGGTCTGGCGCCCTCTTCTGGCCTTCGGCATACACGCAGATATACTATTGTATACATAATAAATAATAAATGAATATTTATGAAAAAAAAAAAAAGGAAGAGGCTGGAGAGATGGCTCAGACGTTAAGAGTACTGGCTGCTCTTCAGAGGTACCGAGTTCAATTCTCTGCAACCACATGGTGGGTCACAACCACCTATAATGAAATCTGGTGCCCTCTTCTGGCAGGCAAATAGCCAGGTGGTGGCAGTGCATGCCTTTAATCCTAGTGCCTGGGAAGCTAGTTCCAGGACAGGCCCAAAGCTACAAGGTGAAACCTTGTCTCCAAAAAAGATAAAAGAAACAAAGAAACTCAACCAAAACCAATCCCTCTCCAAAAGCCGGGCAGTTGTTGGGCACACCTTTAACTCAGCACTGGGAGGGGGAGGCCAAGGCAGGTGGAGCTCAGTGAGTTTGAGGCCAGCCTGGTCTACAAGAGCTAGTTCTAGGAAAGGCTCCAGGAGCTGGAGAGATGGCTCAGAGGTTAAGAGCACTGACTGTTCTTCCAAATGTCCTGAATTCAATTCCTAGCAACCATATGGTGGCTCACAACCATCTGTAACGGGGTCTGGTGCCCTCTTCTGGCCTTCAGACATACATGGAAGGAATGCTGTATACATAATAAATAAATAAATATTTAAAAAAAAAAAAGGAAAGGCTCCAAAACTGCAGAGAAACCCTGCCTTGAAAAACAAAAACAAAAAAACCCCAAAAAGATGAATAGCCAATAGCAAGGCAGGAGAAAGAATAGGTGGGGCTGGCAGGCAGAGAGAATAAATAGGAAGAGAATCTTGAAGGAAAGAGGAAGGAGCAAGATAGAATAAGGAGAGGAGGACAAGGAGAGGAGGACATCAGGGGCCAGACACCCAGCTACACAGCAAGCCACAGAGAAAGTAGTAAAGAAAGGTATACAGAATTAGAGAAAGATAAAAGTCCAGAGGCAAAAGATTGATGGGATAATTTTTCTTAAATATTTATTTATTTATTTATTATGTATACAATATTCTGTCTGTGTGTATGCCTGTAGGCCAGAAGAGGGCATCAGATCCCATTACAGATGGTTGTGAGCCACCATGTGGTTGCTGGGAATTGAACTCAGGACCTTTGGAAGAGCAGGCAATGCTCTTAACCTCTGAGCCATCTCTCCAGCCCTTGATGGGATAATTTAAGTTAAGAAAAGTTGGCTAGAAACAAGCCAAGCTAAAGTCAAGCATTTTTAAGAAAGAATAAGTCTCCTTGTGTGATTTATTTGGGAGCTGGGGGGAAGGGGGCTAAAAAAGCCAAAAGAGTAACCAAAACAACCAACTATAAGCCTTCACTCCATTTCTGTCTGTTTCACACACAGAAGTCTACAAACAAGAGTCAAGCATGGTGGTGCATGCATATTATCCCAACATTCATAATGAGGAAGGAGGCCCAATCTGGGCTACATGGGACCCTGTTCAAAACAAAAACCAGGGCTGGAGAGATGGCTCAGAGGTTAAGAGTACTGATTGCTCTTCCGGAGGTCCTGAGTTCAATTCCCAGCAACCACATGGTGGCTCACAACCATCTGTAATGAGATCTGGTGCCCTCTTCTTGCTTGCAGGCATACATGGAGGCTAAACACTGTGTACATAATAAATCTTTTTTTTTTTTTTTTTTTTTTTTTTTTTTTTGCTTTTTCGAGACAGGGTTTCTCTGTGGCTTTGGAGCCTACCCTGGAACTAGCTCTGTAGACCAGGCTGGTCTCGAACTCACAGAGATCCGCCTGCCTCTGCCTCCCAAGTGCTGGGATTAAAGGCGTGCGCCACCATCGCCCGGCCATAATAAATCTTTAAAAGAAAAAAAAAAAAAAAACAACCCAAAAACCAAAACCCTAACCATGGACCAGTGAAATGATGAAGTGAGTGCAGAGCCTGATGGCCTGACTGTGATCCCTAGACTACACCTGGGAGAAGGGCCTAAAGCAAACTGTTCTCCACATAAGGGGGGTGATGGCAAACACGTGCACATGCACACAAAATAAATGAATGCTAAAAAATAAAGGAGGAGCCGGGCGATGGTGGCGCACGCCTTTAATCCCAGCACTTGGGAGGCAGAGGTAGGCGGATCTCTGTGAGTTCGAGACCAGCCTGGTCTACAGAGCTAGTTCCAGGACAGGCTCCAAAGCCACAGAGAAACCCTGTCTCGAAAAACCAAAAAAAAAAAAAAAAAAAAAAAAAAATAAAGGAGGGACATAACGACAACATCCATAAAAAGTTTCATTTGAATAAATTATCACACTAACACACACAATATAACTGTCCACAGGTTTGTGATGCAGAGTCCATATTACTTACCACATACAATACAACTGGCCTGGCTCAGGGTTACTTTTTGGGAATGAGCTACCTGTTCCTTCTCAAGGAAGAAGCTGGAAGCTGGGGATGATGGGGTACCTCAGTGGCTGATGAGTTTGTGCCTGCCACAAATGTGGGGCCACTGGTCTAGGCATTTAAGCCAGCCAAATTGAGTTAACAGGTTTTCTTTCTATTAATTTATTTATTACTGGGGGGTGGGGTGGGTAAAGACAATACCTCATGTCTTGGCTTGTGCATGGAGGTCAGAGGACAACCTGTGGGAGCCAATTTTCTCCTTCTAACACATACCTGAGGATTTAACTCAGGTCACCAGGCTTTACCTTTACCTTCTGTCCATTTTGCTGCACCCAAACTGACGTCTTCAACCTAATCATCTCTCTGCCCCCAGGGGGTAACCAAAGGAGAGCCTGCCAGGTAAGATTTTCCACTGAGTAGCCTAATCCCAGGCCTTGAGCACGAGCCACTGTATGGTCATCACTTAGTTATTCAGTCTGCAGGGCAGGTAACCTAGGTGCTGGGTGAGAGGACTAGGAGATAATAGACTTACTGAACTCCAGAAAATACCCAGAAAGCTTTTGGTCTGGTCGAGATGTGGCTTTGGGTCTAGGCTTCAGTGTCTGCAGTCATTTTTCTATTCAGTTGGGCAGGAGAGTACCTGCCACAAGGCCTTTTGTACAAGCTAAGATAATCTCATAGGTTTCATCCTCCTTTTAAGAATTCATGAGGCTGGAGAGATGGCTCGGTAATGGTTAAGAGCACTGGGTGTTCTCTCAGGAACCAAAATCCATTCCTAGCACCAACATGGTGACTCCCAACCACTGTAACTCCAGTTCCCGGGTAGCTGATGCCCTCTACTAGCCTTTGTGGGTACCAGACATATACATGATGCTAGACATTAATGAAAGTAAAACACTCATACACATGAAGTAAAAATATGTGTGCCTGTATGTTTGTTTGAATGCCACAGCATACCTGTGGAGGTCAAGGTAGGTTTTCTTCATCCATCATGTGGCTCCCAGGGAACAAACTCAGGTCACTGGACTTGGCAGCAAGAGCTTTTACCCATTGAGCACCAGCTAGCCCCCTTTTTAGCCTCATCATTAAAAAAAAAAAAGGCAGACAGGTGGATCTCTGAGTTCAAGGTCAGCCTGATCTATAGAGGCCAACAAAGGCTACACCAAGAAACCCTATCGCGAAAAACCATAAAAAAGGAAGGAAGGAAGGGAGGGAGTGAGGAAGGGAGGGAGGGAGGGAAGGAAGGAAGCCAGATCCCATTCTATAGCCCTGGCTGACCTAGAACTTGCTATGCAGACCAGACCCTGATCTTGTGAGGACCTCTTGTCTCTTAAGTTCTAGGATTATAGGAATCTACCACCACATCCAGCTTGTTTCAAATTTTCATGGGTCATTAGCAAAGGTTGTTAGAATTTTTCCCCTATTAACTCTATGACCTTGTTTAAAAATAAGACTGGAGAGAAAGGTATGGTGGATCATTCTTGTGATCCCAGGACTTAGAAGACTAACATAGGAGGATGGTGGGAACTTTAAGATCAGTTTGGGCTATCTATATAATAAGTTTGAAGCTAGTCTGGGCTACATGAACTCCTATCTTAAAAACAACCAATCCAGAGCCGGGCGATAGTGGCGCACGCCTTTAATCCCAGCACTCGGGAGGCAGAGGCAGGCGGATCTCTGTGAGTTCGAGACCAGCCTGGTCTACAGAGCTAGTTCCAGGACAGGCTCCAAAGCCACAGAGAAACCCTGTCTCGAAAAAAAAAAAAAAAAAAACAACCAATCCAGGCCGGGCAGTGGTGGCGCACGCCTTTAATCCCAGCACTCGGGAGGCAGAGGCAGGCGGATCTCTGTGAGTTCGAGACCAGCCTGATCTACAGAGCTAGTTCCAGGACAGGCTCCAAAAACCACAGAGAAACCCTGTCTCAAAAAACCAAAAAAAAAAAAAACAAACAACCAATCCAAAAATTAGAAATGGGGGGAAAAGTTAGACTAGAAGCTGAAGTAAGGTTGCAAAAGCTAGAAACCCAAGATTTGCAACTTCCTGGCATGGTACTCATGACCCTGTGCTGAGATGATACAATATAAAATGATTTGGCAACTTAACTGGTTTATCTTTGGGGACAGGATCCTGCAATACAGCCCGGGCTAGACTTGAACCCACAATCCTCCTGGCCTGTTTCCCAAGTACCAGGACTACAGGACACCAAGCCTAACAGATTATGAATTTTTGTAAAGTAATTAATTTTGGACTTCATTTCCCTTCAACTTTAAGAGAATTTAGTTTATAATCTTTTAAAAATCTCCCTGGGAATTTGAAAATGGGGAGTGTTTCCATTCAAGTCTGGAATAAAGTACACTATCTGTACCTCATTCAGAGTTTTTCTCTTCAGTGCTGGTATTCCAACCCAGGCCTTCCGCATGCTAAGCACGCACACCACCAGCCCTACCGCTGCCCCAGCTGCCCCAGTACTGCTTTATGCTTTTCTCATAATGTTGCATTTTACCTCATTTCAGAACACCTGTCTTGTCTTGCATGTAGGACAGACAGAACTAACCAGGCCTACTTTGGAACAGGACAAGACTTTTTAGCCTGGGGTCCAGAACAGTCCTGGAGTATATCTAATTAACCACCAATAAGGCAAACACAAACGTGCAGTGGCTGGGCTGGGTCAGAGGGGCTCCTAACACAGACACTAGCTTTCCCTGTCGGGACCACCATGATCCTGGCCAAGCACAGGTTCACGGGAAGACACAGAGGAACGAAAGGACAAAGGGTCAAGGGAGTGTTTCAAAGGCAAGGATATGCCCAGTTTTAAGTTCTAACAAGTACACGGCCCCTGGGAGATAACGCTGAGGAACAATATGCCTACAAAAATAGCTCAATGGCTCAACTCTTCTTGAAGCTGGAACTGCCAGAGATGTGCATGCATGCCCTTTTGCTGTTTGTTCCAGAGTGATGCCCCAACAGAGGGGCCAGAGGAGCTGTGGCACTACTGGTACCTGACTGCCAGATTAAGGGACTTGGATAACTGGTCCCTCTGCCTCTCACACCAAGGGTGGCTTCCAATTCAGGTTTGATCAGCAACAAAGGTAATGCTCTGCCTGATAGCTAAGGATTAGGGCACTAAGGATAGTGGAGCTTTACCCTCCTTACAGACCCAGGAGCATAAAGACTGACCTTGCCTTCTCAAATCCATAGAGACATACCTGAGTCAATGTCCATGTCAGCAGGGGAGGCTGCTGAGCTGCCTTCCTTCCTCTGCTTCTTTGGACTATTAGGGCTGGACTGAGAAGAAGATCGCTTGCTGCCAGACTTCATGCTCGGCTAATGGAGTAATCAACAGGAACACAAGTTACACAGAGAACCTCGAACCCATACTTTAACCAGTCTGGACCCAAGCAATTGTTGAATGAGCTCCTATTCTGCAGCCTCTTGATTAATCAGTGTTTACAATAAAATCCAAAAGAATAGTAAGATACTGCCATAAAATCTCATGGCTACATTTACCAACCATACCCTTAAAACCTATGTATTGAGGCTAGGAATGTAGTTCAGTGGTACAGTGCTTGCCTAGCACACCTGAGGTCCTAGGTTCAATTCTCAGCATCACACACATGCAAACACAAATCTATTTACCGACTGGATGTTAGAAGTAAGGTAACTGGCGAACACATCCTTCTGTTGACATGCCTGCATTGGTATGGAACCGAATATTCTCCATTCCTAATGTGGAAAAACAGGACGAATGGATTTGGAAAATATCAACTTTTTAAGATTTTGCTCCTAGCACTAAAGAGGTCACTAAGGGTCACTGCAAATCCCAGGCCAGATTGGGGCACACAGTGACTTGAAAGTTTTTTGGGTTACAGTGAGACCCCATCTCAACAAAACCCCACCCAAAAGCCCTAAAACAAAAAAATGTCACAATGAGCGAAGGGGTGGTGGCACACGCCTTTAATCCTAGGCAGAGGCAGGCTAATCGCTGTGAGTTAGAGACCAGCCTCGTCTATGAGAGCTAGTTCCAGGACAGACTCTAAAGTTACACAGAAAAACCCTGTCTCAAAACAAAACAAAATAAAACAAAACAAAAAACAACCAAATGTCCCAGAAAAATCCCATTACTTCATTTGCAAACTAGAAAATAATAATAAAAGCTGTAAAACTAGACTAAATGGCAGACTCTTGGATCCCAAGGCGTAGAAGATACAAAAGGAACACCCCAAACAAACCAGGTGGTGGTGATGATGGTGGTGGCACACACCTTTAATCCCATCACTTGGGAGGCGTAGACAGGAGGATCTGAGTTCAAGGTAATCCTGGTCTACAAAATGAATTCCAGGACTGTCAGGGCTACACAGAGAAACGCTATCTCACAGATCCACTTCCTCTACCTGTCAAAGTCAGATTAAAGGCATGCCACCATACAATACCACACTGAGGTTCAGACTCCAGCTGAGCTTGCGCAAAGTTAAGATTATAGAGCCTAACAATTGACCTCTGCTCCTTTGCTTAGGAAATAGTGCCAGAAAATCCCCACAACTCTGATAATACAGTTTTACACTTAATATTCTAATTAACAAGAGAAACTAAGATTGGGATGTAGCTCAGTGACAGTGTGGTACTAGCATATAAGAGGTTCTGAATCCAATTTCTAGTACTGAAAAATGGAAGTTAAAAAGCTCCGTATAGGATCTAGGAGATTTAGTGCATAAAGAGTTGCAGCCTGATAATCTGAGTTTGGCTGCAGAACCCACATCAGAGCTGGATGCATGCACACCGACAATCCTGGAATCTGGGAGTGAAGGCAGGCCCATCAAGGCCAGCCTGTAACATGAGATCTAACAAATGAACTGTTAAAACATGTCAGTAAAAACTCACTTCACTTTGCCCCCTTCTTATGTGCCATGATTACACGTGTCCAGCTACAAATTCATTTGCTTAAGTAACAAACTGCTACATACTTTAGTATTTTGAAAATCTTTAATATTATCACAGTTCAGAAGAAAAATTGTTAAATGTATACTTACATCTGGAATACCTCTGGGAGTAGATATATTAAAACCAGGATAGTTTACCAATTTTGACAGATCATAAGTGACATTTTTATTCTGTATTTCTCCAGTTTCTGTTTCTCCATCAGCATCATCTTCTAGAGACCAGAGAAAATATTAAAAAGCTAGACAAAAACATCTCCCTCACATCAACAAATAACACAAAGAAAGTGCTGAGATACTGTATCAGAATTCAGAATTGGTCTAGGGTTGTAGTACAAATAATAAAAGCCCAGAGACAGATATTGGGGTTCAAGCTGAAGATCAAAAAAGCAAAGCAGTCAAGCCACTAAGGAGATCTTACTTCTACCAAGGCTCACACAAACAAAGGGGAGATCCTACAATGCTCTCCACCAACTTCAGACTCCACTGAGTTCCTGTCTTTTCCCCTTTATATTCCTCTCTGTCCGGTCACATCACTCCTGTCTCCACCACCTCCCTAGCACTGGGATCTGTTTCTCATTTTAAAAGATTCAATCTTGAGTAGCCTAGGGTGGCCTTGATCTCAGAGAGTTCAAGGTACGCGCCACCACTTCCTGGGCTGTATGGCTGCTTAGCCCTCTGATCTTCAAGCAAGTTTTATTTATTAAAACACAAATAATGTATCACTATATTAATCGCTATCATTTTTCTGAACCATTGCAACTTTTAAATAGGCTCTAAGCGTAAAGGCTTGTGACAGGACAATAAGAGATTAAGTCAGGATTCAAGGTCAGCTTTCACTCACAAGTTCCAGGCCAGCCTGGGATATCGATTCTGTCTCAAAAAACAAAAAAGATTTAGCCAGGCAGTGCTGGCTCACACTTTTAATACCAGCACTTAAAAAGCAGAAACAGGGGCTGGAGAGATGGCTCAGAGGTTAAGAGCATTGCCTGCTCTTCCAAAGGTCCTGAGTTCAATTACCAGCAACCACATGGTGGCTCACAACCATCTGTAATGGGGTCTGGTACCCTCCTCCGGCCTGTGGGCATACACACAGAATATTGCATACATAATAAATAAATAAATAAATAAATAAATAAATAAATAAGCAGAAACAGTTAAATTGGAGGCCAGCCCAGTCAATGGAGCAAGTTCCAGGACAGCCAGGGCTATGCAGAGAAACCCTGTTTTGAAAACCCAAAAACAAAACAAACAACAGATTCTGTTTCTGTCAGGCAGTGGGGGCACACGCCTTTAGCTTTTAATTCCAGCATCTGAGAAACAAAAGCAGGCAGATCTCTGTGAGTTCGAGGCCAGCCTGGTTTACCAAGTGAGTTCCAGAACAAGCTCCAAAGTTACACAGAGAAACCCTGTCTCAAAAAACAAAAACAAGCCGGGCAGTAGTGGCACATGCCTTTAATCCCAGCACTCGGGAGGCAGAGGCAAGCGGATCCCTGTTCAAGGCCAGCCTAGTCTAGAAGAGCTAGTTCCAGGACAGGAACCAAAAGCTACAGAGAAACCCTGTCTCGAAAATCAAAAAAACAAAACAAAACAAAAAAAAAAAAAAAAAAAACAAAAACAAGGGCTGGAGAGATGGCTCAGAGGTTAAGAGCATTGCCTGTTCTTCCAAAGATCCTGAGTTCAATTCCCAGCAACCACATGGTGGCTCACAACCATCTGTAATGGGGTCTGGTGCCCTCTTCTGGCCTGCAGGCATACACACAGACAGAATATTGTAGACATTATAAATAAATAAATAAAAACAAAAACAAAAAACAAAGCAACAACAACCAAAAAAACTCCAACAGATCCTGTTTCTAAAAAACAAAACTAAATTCTTAGCCTGGTCTACAAAGCAAGTTCTAGGACAAGCTCCAAAGTTACAGAGTAACCCCATCTCAAAAACAAAAACCTAAAAATAAAACACAACAAACAACCCTAATTTCTTATAACATTTGTGCCATGGTGGGTGTGTGAAAATCAGTGAAAATCTGTTAAGCTATCCTCTACCACGTGGATCCTGAGGACCAAAAAACAGGTCATCAGGTACAGTAACAAGTGACTGTTGCCTTTGTTCTTGAGACAGGGTGTAGTAGCATTTCATTTGTATTTTTTTTTTTTTTTTTTTTTTTTTTTGGTTTTTCGAGACAGGGTTTCTCTGTGGTTTTGGAGCCTGTCCTGGAACTAGCTCTTGTAGATCAGGCTGGTCTCGAACTCACACAGATCCGCCTACCTCTGCCTCCCGAGTGCTGGGATTAAAGGCGTGCGCCACCACCGCCCGGCCCTCATTTGTATTTTTAATAAATAAAGCTTGCCTGAAGATCAGAAAAATAATACAGTCACACTGGCCAGCCTTACAGACCAGGCAGTGATGACACACGCTTTTATCCCGGTAGCCACACTAGCTTGCCATCGAAACCACGTGGTAATGGTGCCTGCCCTTAATCCCAGAACTAGAGAGGATTACAAAATGAGAGACAGCTCTCAGTCTCATTCTGAGATTCCTGGAGGCAGGATCACCATTTCGGACTGAGGTAGAGGTAAGAGCCAGTGACTCGCTGTTTTGCTTTTCTGACCTTCAAGTTGAACCCCAATTTCTGTCTCTGAGTTTTTACTAATTGTGATTCATGGGTCTCTCATGGTCTCTCTCTCTCTCTCTTTCTTTCATTCATTCATTCATTAAGTATAGAGTGCCTGCAGGCCAGAAAAGGGCACCAGATCTCATTATAGATGGTTGTAAGCCACCATGTGGTTGCTGGGAATTGAATTCAGGACCTCTTGAAGAGCAGTCAGTGTTCTAACCTCTGAGCCATTTCTCCAGCCCTCTCATGTTACTTCTGCCAAGGAGCTACACTCAGCCAATTCCCTTTGTCTTTCCTCCCACACCACTGTAGAAGGCCCATTGATTGCTGTACATTACCAATGCTAAGAAAGCTAAAACTTCAAGACTACCTGTAGGCCTTCCACACTGGCTTCAGTGAACACACATCAAGCCAAAATAACGTTCTGATAATCCTTCTTTTTCACGACAGGGTTTCCTCTGTGTAGACTAGGCTGGCCTCAAACTCATAGACATTACTGTCTGGCCCGTTGTTTGATCCTTTTTTTTGAGACAGGGTTTCTCTGTAACTTTGAAGAAAGTCCTGGAACTTGCTACGTAGACCAGGCTGGTCTCGAACTCAGATCCACCTGCTTCTGCTTCCCGAGTGATGGAATAAAAGGCGTGCACCACCATTGCCCAGCCCTGATATTTCTTTTTAACTAAAGGAAAGTTATTGTTGTTGTGTGTGTGCATGATATGAGTAAGCAGATGTACCATAATATACATGTGGAGGTCAAAGGACAACTCTACAGAGGCAGTTCTTTCCTTCCTGGATGCTAAGCTTGTATAGCAAGCACCCTTTCCCACCGAGCAATCTCCCTAGCCCCTACCTGATACTTTTTCTTTCATGTTCTCCCCCCCCCCCCTTTTTTTGTGTTTTTTTTTGAGATAGGGTTTCACTGTGTAACAGTTCTGGCTGTCCTGGAACTCACTTTGAAGACCACGCTAGTCTCAAACTCAGAGACCTGAATACTGGGATTAAAGGCCTATGCCACATGTCTAACTCCCCCACCCTCCTTAAAAGACAGGATCTTGCTAAGCATCTCAGGCAGAATGGCCTCAAACTCTCAATCCTCCTGCTTCTGTCTAAGTGCTGGGATAACAAATGTGCACCGTCACATCTAGCCAAACCGCCTGATAATTCTGTATGTTCACTGAAGCTTCAGTTCCTTCCTTGTAAAACAGGAAATGTGGAGATGTCATGATGACAGTTTTAGCTGTCTCAGCACACATTAAACAGGCCTGGCACTCCTGTCATTTTCCTGTGATTCTTTTCAGACAGGGTTGTGCCAAGTAGACCAAGCTGGCTTCAAACTCACTGATATCTGCCTGCCTCTTCCTCCCAAATGCTCTCTTAAAGGCCTAGCTAACAGTCATAATTAAAAAAGGGGGATGAGAGGGACCCATAAACTGACTTCTCGATGCTAATATACGATACCATTTCCATCATAGAGTGCAAGCCCTGAAGTCTCCAGTTCAGCCTCCTTGAGCCAGCCTGGAGGGTAGCCCAGCTGGCGCATGCGGTAGATGAAAGGGGGAAGACTCTTGTCCGACACACCCAGTGCATCCTGAAGTTCCTCACTAAGTAAAAAAAAGGGGGAGGAAAGATGATGAATTCAGACTTGCATGAAAACACTATATTGGCATTTTTCTTTTTTTAAAGTATCATCATCATAATCATTTTTTATGTGTGTGAGGGTTTGTGACCGTATGTATGCCTGTGTAACATGTATGTACGTGGTGCCCACGGAGGGCAGAAGTCTTCAGATCCCTAGGAACTGGGTCACGGATATGGTTCTGAGCTATCCTGTGAGCGCTAGGAATTGAACCTGGGTCTACTGGAAGAACAGTCAGTGCTCTTACCTTTAAGCCTTCTCACTAGAACCATATTTTTCTTAGGATAGAGCTCTTACTCTGTAGCCCAGGCTCACTCAGAACTTATGGGGACTGTCCTGCTTCAGTCACATGCGGGATCACAGGTGTAAGCAACCATACCTAGCTAAAACATTTCTGTCCCATATTTCAGAGCATGAAGACATATCAAGCACAGGTTTGAATGAATGGATGCATTCTGTACAGACATGTCACCGCATGCTTATTCTTTTGTTGTTTCGTTTTTCAAGACATGGTTTCTCTGTGTAGCCCTGACTGTCCTGTAGACCAGGCTGGCTTCAAACTCAAGAGATCCTCCTGCCTCTGCCTTCCCAGTGCTGGGATTAAGGGCGTGCACCACCACCTGGTTTACACTTACATTTATTTATTTATTTATTTATTATGTATACAATATTCTGTCTGTGTGTATGCCTGCAGGCCAGAAGAGAGCACCAGACCTTATTACAGATGGTTGTGAGCCACCATGTGGTCGCTGGGAATTGAACTCAGGACCTTTGAAAGAGCAGGCAATGCTCTTAACCTCTGAGCCATCTCTCCAGCCCCTACACTTACATTCTTGTAGTCCTCAGAAGAAACATAAAATGTTCTAAATACTAAGAAAAAAAAAAAAAAAGGACACTCCATGGTAAAACAACAGTGGTACCTAATAACTCCTGGCTTGAATCGTCCAAATCTCTCTTCTACTTCTTCTGCATGGTACCGCTGCTGGAAACTCTGATTGTTTGCCTCACCACAGGCATCCATATACTCTTTTCTCTTTTCACTTATTCGAGCAGCATTCCGGGGCTAAATCATAATAACGTTTGAAAAGAATGATATCAAGTGATTCAGAAATTTACTGCAAATATTCACTTTTTAAAATGTAAAGCATAGATTGCTCTAGTTTTAATGTAGACTATATGCACAAAAGCAGACAATTTTGAAAATCAAGCAAGAATAGTCACTATTATTTTAATGTTATCAGAACCCAAAATTAACTTTTTAAAATAAACTGTTTGAAAATTAACTCATACATCACTCACCTCAAATAGAGTATCGCTATTTTCTTTAAAAAATTCAATGTCTTAAGTATAAACATGAATTTGAAATGTGTAGCACAGGAAGTTCATGCACACCACCCAGGCCACACATGCACATAACACCCACCAGCTCTCGTTCAAAGGCTGCTTATGGGAGAGAGATTTACCATTGGGCACTCCTTCATCTGATGCTCTTCAGAACCACAATTGAAACAATGAGGCCTTGGCCTATTAGATCAGAACACAAAACAAAACAGAAACCCAAAGATTTTCATAATGTAAATGACAACAGAAAAGCAAATGAATGCATTCTAGAGGCCAGCGGCGTGCCAGAGACAGCAGAAGGCGAGGCGCACTGTATCTGCAATTGTTGAGCTCAGCAGTGTATCTTACACTCAGTTACTAAACAGCACTTTGTAGTCGTTTTAACCCAAACCAGCCTGTTCCAGATTGGTATGCTGCCTCAACTTTTTTCAGTGGTTAATAACACAAGAACCAAAGCAAACAGAGCATGGGAAGGAGGCGGATGGTTCTAAGACCGTAACCACACTGACACCAGTAATAACTTCTTTCCACCCTCCCAAGCACTGGGCCTGCATTCCAAGAAATGAATGGTCAATTTAAACATTTAACATGTATCTCCTGATATCAGAATTCTAGCTCAATGTGTAATTTATATCAAATTAGCAATTATGAATATAAACTTTAAGGAGTTGATAAAAGTTTATGGTTCTGATATTGGAAAACAAAGAGTAAAACAAGACAACGCCCCACACAAACCTTTTTGCCTTTACTTGCATTTCTTGCCCTTCTAGAGAAACAATGTGGCTGAAGACTTGCTGGTACCTTTAGTGAATTTTATTAAGGAATAGTTATCATAGTCTGCAAAATTTGGTAAGCTTTTTTTTAAAGGTGAACTTAGTGGCAAGATGCATAAAAGATCTTCATTCACTATGTAGGATACTTGGGTATTTCCCATCCTTCCGTAAGCTGAGGGTTTTCATTTAGTAGCGGTTGCCCCAATTTATCAAGGCAAAAATTAGTAAAATACAGGACACTTCCTACAACCTGCAGAAAACAAGTCAAAAAATATTGCTATTTAAGCAGAAAAAAAAGACATTAAGTAATGTAAGTCTATGATAATGTAAGTCTATGATTACCCATTACCCGTTTGACTTGAATGAAGCTATGAGAAATAAAGTTCTAGACTGGAACTGGACCCCGTGAGCTTTCACGGGCACTGTTAGTACTACAGACAATTCTGTTTCAGCCAAACCTGACTCTCACAAGTCCCTCTAGTACTCATGTGTCTGCAACAAGACCCTCAGAGGCTACACTTATTGTTTCCAGTTCCCTGGTTCCCATTTACTTTGTTTCCTACTGAGTTTTTGCAGCCATTTCTTACAGACAGGTTGAAAACGCAGTACAATGAATATTCATGCATCCTGTTCGCAGACTGAATAAATATTAATTTAAATTTTTTTGGGGCATGACTCTTTTCATATCTACATATACACACACATACTCTTTACTTAACCATTTAAGTCAGTTACAGAGAGTATCACTTACCCTTAAACGCTCAGTATGAACTAAGAACATTTTCCTGCAAACTAACTCCCTAGTATCTCCTATGTCAACTCTACATGCAAGTTTCCCTACCTCCAGAATGCTTTTTACAGTTTTCTTGCCCCCAAGCCAGGATTTATTAAGGGTGGCACGCTATCTTCAGGGGTTTATCTAGCATACATCCCTCCTGCTCTTAAACGACACTGCCAGCCTCTCTCCACCACCTCCGGCCATGCTGCACTCTGTCACACTAGCTGGACGATGGAGCCAAGGACGGCTCTGCACTTTAGTCCTTTAGCGAACTGTCAATCCTCATCTCTCAACCAGCACTTCCTGACACAGCACTTCCTTCCTTCTACAAACATTTTCCAACTCTGGAAGATTTTCGGGATGCCACTTCAGTTCTTCTTACAGATGAAATCTCCCCTCCCCTGTATCTCTCATCTTCCCAGACGTCCTTAAACATCTTTTCCATTCTTACTTCCTAGGCGACTCACCCAGGTCTAGGGTATGAGAAATAATTTCTATGTTGATGACCCCCCACCCCCTGTTCAAAGTGAGCTGTGATCCCTTATCTCCACCATGGCCCCTCTTTCTGGACATGTAGGTATCTCCAACTCACCTATTTAAAATGGCACTGGAAGCCAGCTAGGGTGACAACTGCCTGCAATCCCAGCACTTGGGAGGCTGAGACAGGAGGACCACAGTTCAAGGCCAGCTGGAGATACACAGCAAGACTGTCTTAAAAACAACAACAGAAAACCCAAAGTAAGTAAATTAAAAACAAAACAAAACAAAAGAGGCAACCAATTCCCAGCCTCTCCAAATCTGCTCCTCCCCATACCTCCCACTTTCCTAGGTCAAGCCTAAGTTCTGACTATTCTCTCAGGAGCTCTCTTATTCCTCAGCTAACTCAGGAACACATTTGACTGGTTTTACTGCCAAGCGTATCAAGGTTTCAGACACGCATCACATGCTGGTCTCAGTTGTGCTTTCTCTTGCGTGAGGTTAACAGCAGCTTTTTCACTAACTGCAGATCCTATGCAGACCAGGGCCAGCTTCATTCCACAAAGAATAAAGTTCTGTCAGTTAAGACATAGCCTGTCGCTTAGTATCCTTACATGGTCTCTTAGACTACAATCTGAAGGTTCTATTACAGCCTATAAAGCAATATAAGGATGTAGATCATTTGGCTCTGTCACCTGACTACCGACGAATCTCTTAGCTTTCCACGTGTTTCCTTTTTAAAAAATGGCAAGGTATTACCTCGACAAGTATCACCCGTAATCAGCTCCCAAGTGATTTACCAGTACTTGTTGCACAGAAAGCAATTTGAATACTGGCTGCTGGTATCTACTTCCCTTTCCTATTTATTGAGCCCTCTTGACACAAAATACAGTCTGCATTTTCCTTCACTTCATCCAGACCTTGGCTCACAAAGGCAGTCACCAGCAACTCACAATATAAAGCAACCATCCCGGGCATTGTACCACTCCTCTCCCTGCCATCGCCCAATGGAACTGAAGCCTTCTACATGCTAGGAAGTTAAGTACTCCAACACTGAACTGCAGCCCCAGCCATTTCTTTACTTATGAGGTAGAATTTCACTAAGCTACTTAGACTGTACATCCATCCCATCCGTCCATCAACCTCTCTCTCTCACACACGTGCACGAGCGCACACACACCTACCTATGTACTAACTACTAGGGCACTGAACGCAGGGCCTCACATACTAGGCAAGCACACTAGCCTACACCCCAACCTGACTTTTCTTAGGAATTTAACCTTTTCCCACGCAACTGCTCAAACCAGAGCTGGCCTCAGGCCTTTCTTTTCATTGCTATCTCTGAAACCTCTCTGCTCCTGGCACAGAGCAGCATTCAGCAAACACCAGAATTGTCTAAAGAACTAAAGCGATAATTATAAGCTCATTCTAGACAAACATTATTTTAATCCCATAGCCTTTGAGTTGAAATAAAAATGAAAGTTACCTAGAACTTTCAGAAATCCTTCTTTAAGCTAAATGTGGCTACCCCTGTAAGTTCAGCACTTCAAAGGCAGAGACAGGAGAACTGTTGTGAGTCTGAGGAAAGCCTGGACTACAGAGCGACTCCTTGACTCATAAAACAATTTGTGCTGGTGAGATGGCTTGAATACCAGTCTGACAACTGGAGTTTCCACATTCAGGACCCACAGGGTGGAAGGGTAAGAACCCCAGAAAATAGTCCTCAGACTTCTACACACACCATAGCAATGCAGGCAGGCATGCATATGTATAAATTTAATTTAGAAATTGAAAATAAAAACTGAACTATAAACAAGAAACAAGAAATAGAAAACTTAAAAATATTCTTGAAAGGGTTGGGTGGTGGTGGTACACGCCTTTAACCCCAGCACCTAGGAAGCAGAGTTTGGCATATCTGAGTCTGAGGCAGCCCGTTCCACACAATAAGTTTCAGGACAGACAGGGCTACACCGAGAAAGCCTGCCTCAAATAAAAAATAAAATAAAAAATTCTTGATAGCATCCCTAATCTTCATTTAACTCAAGTAACCTGGACTGTTTTCCCGGTCTGATTTTGTGAAGATTGATCCTATTTTTAATTATGTGCATGCATGCATGTCTATGGGTATGTGGCACAAGTGCTAGTCCCTGGGTAGGCCAGAGATGTTGGATCCCTGGAGATGGAGTTATATGTGGTTGTGAGGCACCTAGTTTAAGCGCTGGGAATCGAACCCAGTTCTTCTACAAGAGGGGCACATGCTCTTAACCCTTAAGCTACCTCTCCAGGCTAAAAACAATAATACTAACACCCAGGGGACTCACACATAAGTACTCTGCCACTAAGCTACATGCCCTGCCTAGCTTTTCTCCTTTTTATTTATTTACTTATTTTTTTTTGGTTTTTCGAGACAGGGTTTCTCTGTGGCTTTGGAGCCTGTCCTGGAACTAGCTCTGTAGACCAGGCTGGTCTCGAGCTCAGAGATCCGCCTGCCTCTGCCCCCCGAGTGCTGGGATTAAAGGCGTGCCACCATTGCCCGGCTCTCCTTTTCCTTTCTGCCTTCGCCTCTTGGGTTCTAGGGTTACAAGTATGAGCAACTATGGCCACATTCTGTGTTCGTTCTCTAACACTGAGCTGAAATGTACCTCTTGCACTCAATCCTATCACCAATCCTGTTCTGCCAGGGATGCTATGAAGCATGGTACAGCAGCTACTGTTGAATTTTCAAGTCTTTTCATGAGACCTGCAGCTCTTCATCGTCTCAGCAGCGCATGTCTTTAAAAATTGGGGCACATCCTGTGAGCATCAAGTAGTCATCCTTTGAGAGCATGCTACAAGAATGGCTTGATACCAGTGAACTATGCAGAAGTACTGCAAGGCCTAAACACAGGCTCTCCCTGTTAAGCTTTTGCTTTTACCCACTAATTAAGACCATTGACATTTTTCAAACTTCAAACATGCCATATAGTTAACAGTTACTTCTCTCAGCTTCATCTGTAAGTTTTGCAAGTCTGCTTTCTACTTTTTAGTCAAAATTTTCAAGATAAACATGAAGAGGCCGGGCGATGGTGGCGCACGCCTTTAATCCCAGCACTCGGGAGGCAGAGACAGGCGGATCTCTGTGAGTTCGAGACCAGCCTGGTCTACAGAGCTAGTTCCAGGACAGGCTCCAAAACCACAGAGAAACCCTGTCTCGAAAAAACCAAAAAAAAAAAAAAAAAAAAAAAAAAAAAGATAAACATGAAGAGTCTGGTCAGGACCAATACAAACTCTTGCAAATAAAGTATACTGTGTCCTCACAACAGAGTGCGACAATCTCTAAAGAGCAAATGGTACTCAGAGGACAACACCTACAATAGTGGTTATCACAAAGAAAATGCTGTCTGTGATTTTAGAAGTCATGTGACTATGTCATCTTATCATTCATTAAGTCACCCAACTGAGAAACAAAGGAATCACATGTGTGCAGAATTCAAATTGAAGAATACAAACTTACACTGAAAGCTTCCTTGTTGCTTTTAATGGCACATGATTCTTCTACTTTATGGTCCTCTTCCAACATAACACTGGATGGCTAAGACCAAATAACATGCATTACAAAGAGTCACAAGACAATACCTTTGTTTTGATTAGTTACTGTATTTTTCTTTCATGTATATCTGTGTGAGGGTGTCAGATCCCCTGGAAATGAAGTTACAGATAGTTATGAGCTGCCAAATGGGTGCTGGGAAATGAACCCAGGTCTTCTGGAAAAGCAGAGCTCTGAACCACTGAGCCACCTCTCCAGTCAAAGAAATACTTTTTCATTTTCAAAATTTAGGACTCTCAACACCCTTCGTTCACTTTAATAATATACATAAATAAGCCTGGCATAGTGGAGCACGCATTTAATCCAACATTTGGGAGGCAGAGGCGGGCAGATCTATGTGAGTTTGAGTCCAGCCTGGTCTACAGAGTTCTAGGAAAGCCAAAGACACACAGAGAAACCCTGTTTTGAAAAACCAAAAGGGGGCTGGAGAGATGGCTCAGAGATTAAGAGCACTGCCTGCTCTTCCAAAGGTCCTCAGTTCAATTCCCAGCATGGTGGCTCACAACCATTTGTAATGAGGTCTGGTGCCCTCTTCTGGCCTTCAGGCATACACACAGAAAGAATATTGTATACATAATAAATAAATAAATATTAAAAAAAAAAAAGCCGGGTGATGGTGGCACACGCCTTTAATCTTTAATCCCAGCACTCGGGAGGCAGAGGCAGGTGGATCTCTGTGAGTTCGAGACCAGCCTGGTCTACAGAGCTAGTTCCAGGACAGGCTCCAAAGCCACAGAGAAACCCTGTCTCGAAAAACCAAAAACAAAACAAAACAAAAAAAAAAAACAAAAACCAAAAAAAAAAACCAAAGAAAAACAAACAAACAAAATACCCCCAAAACCATAAATAAGATACCTTGTCATAATTAGAATGAATTTAGAAGCTAAGGCCAAATTATTTACAAAATATCCAATGTTTCAAATAGTAAGGCAGACTTGAGAAACCCTATCTTGAAAAAAAGAAAAAACAACAACAAAACCCAAAACAAACAAAATAACAACAACCAATACTGATAGCCTCATAGACCTCAAACCATTACAAAATTTTGAATTGTTCACTGAATCAGAATTAACATTTTCAGGGCATGGTGGTACAAGCTTTTTAATCCAAGCACTCATGAGGTAGAGGCAGATGGATCTCTGAATTTGAGGCTAGCCTGGTCTACAGAGTTAGTTCTAGGACAGCCAGGGCTGCACAGAGAAATCCTGGAATCAAGAAACCAAAAAGTTTTTTTCAGCTGAGTCTGGTGGTACACACCTTAAATCTTAGCATTCAAGAAGCAGAGGCAGGTAAACCTGTGAGTTTGAGACCAGCCAGGGCTACATAGTTAAGACCCTGTCTCAAAACAACAAAAATTTTCAAATAATTAAAATACTTCCTTCTCCAGTTCCTAAGAACAAAAAGTATCACTGCTTAACTGAAAGATTCTCCACTCCCCCTCACCCCAGTCAGAACTTTTCTGTATATGTTTGACTGAGAGATTCTATTTATTTATTTTAATGTTTATTAGAAAAAAGGTCATAAAAAAAAAAAGAAAAAAGGCCACAAACCATGCTACTGAATATACACACTCTGTAATTCCCCAGATTTCTTCTTTATCTTTGAGACAGGGTCTCTCTACATAGTCCTGGCTATCCTGGAACTCACTATGTAGATCATAGTGCTAGCCTCTGCCTCCTGAATGTTGGAATTAAAGATGTGCACTACCATACATGGCCTCAGATTTTTTTTCTTCTTCTTCTTTTTGTAGTCCTAGCTGTCCTGGAACTCACTTTGTAGACCAGGCTGGCCCTGTAATCACAGAGATCTGCTTGCCTCTGCCTCCCAAGTACTGGGATTAAAGGTGTATGGCACCACCACCTGGCTTCAGATTTCCCATTAAAAAAAAAAAAAGGTTTTGTTTTGTTTTCATAAATCTGTTGGTCTGTTATACATCTCCTACCTCATCTCCTTGGCATAGGATCTCTCACTGAACTGGAAACTTGTCATCTGGCCAGGCTGGCTGGCCAGTGAGCTGATGGGACTGTCTGTCTCTGCCCTTCAAAGGCTGGGCTGCGCACAAGTGGGTACTGCTGTCCAAACTCAGGTTACCGCAGTTGCACAGCAAGCACTCTGACCCAATAGGCCACCTCCCTGGCCCAAGAAGTCATCTTTTATAAACCTTACGTAAATAAACCTGTCCCTCAATCAACTTTCTGCCCAAACTTTGTCCAAGTTGGGAATGGAAAGAACACCTTCAATTTTAGGTGTAGCCATACAACTCAAAGGAAAGCCAGGTGGTGGCACTGGTCACTCTGGAGAAGACAATGACAGGACACAAAGTCAGCACACAATCGTCACCATTTTAGGTTTGACTCAAGGATGTTTCTGGCGTAACAGCAGTTGGCAGCAAAAAGCATAAACCGCTTAGCATTGAGCCTCAAGTTTAAAATACCTGGGGTAAAAGGCTGAAGGAAGTCTTTTCCACATCATTTTTTTGCTGCTCCTCAAATCGCTTTACTAAATTTGATACAAACTCCTCTATTTCTTGGTGGTATTGTCTGTAGGAGAGAGTAAGATGGACAGGTGGTCAGAACCTGGACAAAGTGAAACATGAACAGAATTAAGTTTTCTGTAGTAGTTAAGAAGGCCCAATTTGGCCAGGCAGTGGTGGTGCACGCCTTTAATCCCAGCACTCAGGAGGGAGAGGAGGAGGATCTCTGTGAGCTCGAGGCCAGCCTGGTCTACAAGAGCAAGTTCCAGGACAGGCTCCAAAGCTACAGAGAAACCCTGTCTCAAAAAACCAACAAAAAAAACAAAAGTCCCAATTTTATTTTTGTTTTTCATATATGTTACATTAGGGGATTCGTAGCTAAGAATGCTACTCCTTGGAAGCTCTATGTATTATTACAGGTATTAACAGTTTCTGATAATCTATGGGTGTCTGGCACATAACCTCAAACAGTTGAGAGAATGAATAGAATTTATTTATAAATTTCATACTTAATCTTTAATATATGCTACTTGTCAATGGCTCAAAACCCAAAAGAAAAGCCTGACACAGTGATGTATGCCTATAATCCTAGCATTTGGCAGGTAGGCAGAGGTGGGAAGGCAGCTGCCAGTCAGGGCTACAAAGAGAAGTTGTCACCATTCCAGAAAACAAACAAAATCCACCAAAAAAAATTACATAAGGAAAAGCTTCCTTTCTCCTCACTATTTCTGCAATATAAGAACACCCAACATGCTCAATCTTTTCCATATCCTCCTTCCAGACTTTCAGTGCTCATAAGGAAACGCCCATTTCACATGAAAACTAGAAAAGGCACAATCAAAATACATTAGCCGAAAGAACAGAACAAAACAAAAAAACCCCAAAACAAACCAAAAGAGAAAGAAAGACAAACGTCTACTCTGATCAAATATTCTGGAGCGATTCCTTCAGGTTTTGCTATGTTGAAACACGGCAGCCAGGGACCTCAGACAGACCTGACCTTTTCTGTCATATCTAGCTCTAGCATCTACGATTCTGCCTGTAGAATAATGGATGGTACTGAAGTTAGACTGTTAAACGCTAGACTAGAGTAATACCTCTCTAATCTAGTACCCAAGTCCAGGTATGCCTACTAACGTGCTTCACACTGCTGCTGCACTCGCCATCCAAGCTACTCCTAGGTCCCAATGCCTTGATTCCACTCCTGGACTAAAGGAGACAATGCGCCTGGACCCTAGTCTTGTATCTTCCTGGTCATAGGCAGTGACTCAGGAGGGGCAGGCCACTGCAGAAGTGCACTGATGCCAGCACTCAAGCATGCCAGAAGGCCTGCAGTAGTCCAAACTACACATGTGAGCAGGCTTCAAAGACAGCCAACACGGAAAACTGTTATCCACGTATAGTGTGGACAGCTAACCTTGTTATTATAGTGGTGATGGCATTTTTATGAGATGGTACTTCCTGGACTCTCACAGATTTTGTTTAAGGACCTGAGAGGTGTTTACACACTGTTTTCTAGTGAGAAACCAGACAGGTACTGAGAGCTGAGCCAGTACACGGATGTAGGAGTCCAGGTTCAAATTCATGTCATGACTCTAATACTTTAACCATGACACAATTTAAATAATAAAGATGAGGGCTCTCAAGATGGGTTAGCAGGTAAGGGTGCCTGCAGTCAAGTCCAACTACCCGAGTTCAAGCCCCGGACCCACATGGGGAAGGAAAAAACTGACTCCTACAGTTATCCTTTGACTATCGCATACCTGTACTATGGCACATGCACACCTACACACATAAAAACACAGAATATATAAAGTGTAATAAAAACTCATATGTAATAAAGAGAAAAACTACTTACTTTGAAATAGCATTGTTCATAAATAGAATTTGTAATAAGGGTCCATCTATCTTAGTATTGCTCACCAGTACGCCACTAAAACAGAAGTTAAACATATTCTTAGAAGACATTGAAGTACATACATCACAGTTATAAGCACATGAATTTTGTGATTATAGTCTTTGCTGAAACAAGGTCTCCTTAGTGGTCTGAACTTGCCTCATGCTTCAGATCCTTCTACTGCAGCCTCCCCAGTTCTGGGATCACAGGTGTACCCCACCACACCCAGCTAACTTCTCTAACAAGTACTAAAGATCATGTAATATCCTGCAAGCAAGACCAAGAAGGCTGGAGATGCAGCACGCGGTGAAAAGCCTGCTCAGCATGTGAAGAGCCTTAGCTTCCAAGCCCAGCAAAACAAGTAAGGTGAAAACGAGATGCACAGGAGCTCCAGCTTTCTCAAGAAAAATCTAAGTTTTCACCTGCCTTACTATCTTTAGTGGTTTGAACAAGACAACTCTCTCTTTTTCCAAGACAGGTTTTTTTCTGCGTAGCTTTGGAGCCTGTCCTGGAACTTGCTCCGCAGACTAGGCTGGCCTTGAACTCAAGAGATCTAGGGGGCTTTGCTGGGATGAAGGGCGTGAGCCACCACCACCCACTGTCTCTCTTTAATATTTTTATTTAATGTGCATTGGTGTTTTGCCCAAATATATGTCTATGTGAGGATGTGGGATCCCCTGGAACTGGAGTAACAGACAAGTGTGAGCTGCCATATGGGTGCTGGGAATTGAACCGGGTACCCTGGAAGAGCTGGATGTCTCAGTGGTTACCCTATCTTTTGTTGTGTTGTGCTATGTACATGTCTGTGTGGGCGCAAGTGCATATGTGCATGGGGAGTGAGGCCAGAGGGAAAGTCACAGTCTTCTGTTTGCTAAGACAGGGTGCAGGGATTCTAATTATACAATGAACACTTTTACCATCCAGCTTATCTCCTCAAGCCCTAGAAAGTCTGTCTGTCTCTCTCTTTGATGTAGATCAGGTCTGGCTTTGTTTGAACTCACAGGGATCTTACTGCCTCTGCTTCCCAAGGGATCATTAACAGCCTGAACCACCATACTTGACCCAGAAATTATCTCAACACAAAAAAGTTTCACATACACACACCAAAGAACCCTAGGTTAATCTTTTAGTTTTCACAAGGTCTCTTCAATGAGAGGCTAGTTAGTTTCCTTACAGATCACAGCAGCGGGGAAGAGGATAAGCAGGCAAGTTATAAGAATACACTTCCAAACATTTCTACGTGAATTTTGTTTGGAAGTTTAATGGAAAACTAAACATTTCATAATGAATTTTTATTTTATTCTAGACTCCTGAAGGCCAAAGCACATTGTTTTAACTACAATCCAAGATTCACAAAACTCGGGAAAGGCAGGCAGCACTGCTTCTAGTTTGAGGCCAGTATGGGCCAGAGTGGATTCTAGGTAATCCTGACCTCAGCATGAGGACCTGCTACCACAAGTGACCTCAGCTGACAGACAGCATGCCTAGCATCATGCCTATAATACCAAGATGTAGAAGGATAAAAAGTTCAAGATCAGAGCTACACAATGAGTCCTAGGATAGCTTGGGCTACATGAGACCCTACCTGAAAATTTGGTCACACCAGCCAGTGTATGAACAAACAACAGAAAGCACAGGGTAACCTCCCAGTTCCTACACCTGGAGATATTTCAAGCGAACCTGACTCTACCTGTAATGCCAGCACTTGGGAAGTTAAGGCAGGAGGAGACCATACTATGAGTTTGAGAATAGCCTGGGCCACACAGACTCTGTTGAAAGAAAGAAAAAAGGATGGAGAAACAAAGGAAAAAGGAGAAAGAACCAATCATTGTACGTAAATTAGCACTTGAGGCCAAGCCTGCTGTCATATGGTTTTAATCCCAGAACTCAGGAACAAGAGGCAGCTGGGTTAGAAACCAGCCTGTACAAATAAAATAAGTTCCAAGCCAGTCAAGGCTACAAAGTGAGAACTTCCTTGACTCAAAAAAATAAAATAAAAATTTAGTAGGGAGCCACCTTAGAGTTGGCAGGAGACTTGAACCTAGAGTGGCTCCCAGATGCCCAAGCCAAGGTTCCCAGTCAGTTCCTTGGGCAGCTGAGGATGGGGAACCTGAGATGACCCTATCCTATAGCAATACTGACGAATATCTTGCATATCATCATAGAACCTTCATCTGGTGATGGATGGAGATAGAGACAGAGACCCACACTGGAGCACTGGACTGAGCTCCCAAGGTCCCAATGAGGAGCAGAAGGAGGGAGAACATGAGCAAAGAGGTCGGGACCACGAGGGGTACACCCACCCACTGAGACAGTGGAGCTGATCTATTGGGAGCTCACCAAGGCCAGCTGGACTGTGACTGAGGGAGCATGGGATGAAACTGGACTCTCTGAGCATGGCGAACGATGAGGGCTGATGAGGGGCCAGGGACGGTGGCACGGGGTTTTGGGCCTGCATAGTGTGCTGGCTTTGTGGGAGCCTAGCCAGTTTGGATGTTCACCTTCCTAGAGATGGATGGAGAGGGGAGGACCTGGGACTTACCGCAGGGCAGGGAGCCCTGACTGCTCTTTGGACTGCAGAGGGATGGGGAGAGGAGTGGGGGGAAGGGGAGAGGGGTGGGAGGAGGGGGAGGGAGATGGGAGGCTGGGAGGAGGTGGAAACTTGTTTGTTTTTCTCCTTTTCTCAATAAAAAAAAATGGAAAAAAATTAATTTAGTGACTTGTTAAAGTCATATTGAGATACCAGCATTTAGAGTATTTGTTATGACCACATGGCTGAATACACACCTATATGCTGTGCTTTCTCAAGAACACATTACTGTTTCTTCTTCTTAAAGTGTTATGCTTTCCCAGACTTGGTAGCACCAGGGTATATTCCCAGCACTAGGGAAGGGGAGGCAGGAGGCCCACAGTTCAAGGTCATCCTCAGTTTCACTGTGAGCTGAAGCCAGCTTAGGCAACAATCAGACTGTCTCAACAAAACGAAACGTTATACCTCGCACTGTCCGTATTTATAAAATGTTTTAATTGTGTAAATAATGATAGTGTGGTTGCTTGCATCTCTAATTCCAGCACTTTGAAGGCTGAGGAACAAGGTCCAATAAGCTTAAGGCCAGTCTAAGCTATACAGGGAATTCCTGGCTAGTTTGGGTTATAAGGTGACACCCTGTCTCAGTACACTGATTCCTGCTCAAAAAAAAAAAATAATCAATAATAATAATGCTGTAAAGAAATTATCAGGTAAAGTAACTGTAAACTTACTTTATCTTCCCAGAAATGAGTGTTAAATATGAATAGCTGCGCTTAGTTTGCTTTTCTAAGCACAGGCAAAATTTTCTGGCTTCCGAAGTGACCCATTAAATCCATTTAAATGTTTAACCCACTTACCAGAATTTCCTTATACTCATAAGTCAACAATAAAGAACCGTTATTGAATTCTTCATAGTATTCTGAAACAAATGATGATGACAAAATCCCAAAACCTTTTTAAAGATGTTGTGATTAATGAGATGAACAGCAAGGGGCATCTCAAGTATAATTTCAAGATCTCATACCTGGGTCTTGTCAGAATGTTCAATTTTCTTTTAAGTTCTTGATGTTATTACTGGTTAAGGACTATCCATCATCAAAAAACAGAATTATACAGGACATAAAGTTCAAATGTCTCTCACTTTTGTTATCCAAACGGTAGAATGTAAAGGAAGGACCTGCAAGTGTTCTGAGGGAGACACACTGAGCACGTGCTTTGCTGGAGGACAGGATAACTGGGCCTGAATATTAAATACAATTTTCCACCCTTTGAACTAATATTCTACACCACAATCCTGAAGCCCAGAAACAGTCTAATATCAGCTAGACAGTTGTGTTCCCGGAACAAGCCGGAGCAGCCAATTAGGAAACTTTTCCATGTCAAAGCATCATGATAATCGATAAAGGCAATATAGCAAAATGTTAACAAAAATGTGGAATTGCACCAATGGTCATTAAATGTACAATCCTCAACTCCCAAAGTATTTTATAAATATTCACAATAAAACGTCATGGAAAATAGTACTATAGTAATATTTTATTACTGTATTTATTTTACATAAAGTTTGCCTGAAGACCAGAAGGTAAAACTAAGCCACTACAGGCCAGGCAGTGGTGGCACACACCTTTAGTCCCAGGATTTGGAAGACAGAGGCCTTCTGTGAGTTCAAGGCCGCCCTGGGGCTGCACGTTACCAATGCGGAACCAGGTGGCAGTGTCACCTTTAATTTCAAGAGTCACACGCCTTTAATCCCAGGGGAATGTGAAATGGGAGGAGATAGAGGTTCAGTCTGCAGTTGCCCAGCTTTGGAAGAGGTTAAGGCTTCTTTAGTGTCTTGGGTGTTTTGCTTTTCTGATCTTCAGTTTGAAACCCAGTATCTGTCTCTGAGATTTCATTATTTGTGCTATATAGCATCATAAAAAAAAAAAAAAGAATCAGACTTCAAACTTCAAAACCACTCTCAGGATTCATTATCAGTTTTAAAAAGTTACCTGGGCCAAGACTACCTGTACATGCAGATTCAAGAACCTTAAGAATGAAAGTTAACATACTAGCAAATCCGGAAACTCTGTAATCATGTTAATAAAGCCAAAGGGAAATTTGGCGCGTTTTCCCCAGAGCACTGCAATGCAACCTTACTCAAAGCGGAAGATATCGAAAAAGTAAAACTATCACGCCAACTGACCATTTCTCTTTGTATGCTAATTCTTTAAGGCCCCGACTCTGCTTCACAGAAGCCACTCGAGCTTTTGCCCCTCCACAAATACCCCTTCCCAGGACTACGATCCCCGCATCTTCAAACCACACCACGGCTGTCTCTACTAGAGCCCAGAAAGAAATCACCAAGACCTCAAAAGGAGGGAGAGAAGTCAGGAACCGTTGACAACGTAACAGATTAGGTTCTGAGTTGGGGACCAGGGTGGTCTACACAGGATTCTCCCACGAAAGGGTTTGCGCGCAGGCCTCGCTGCAGCTACGAGCAACCCGACCGAGACCGCCCTCCCGCCAGCCCGCCGAGTCGCGGGAGAAATGACTTAGAATGCTGATCCTCTTGGAATTTCCGCCGTGCCCGCGCCCGCCACCATAGGGACCCCAAGTCCCAGGTGACAGGGCCAACAAGCCGGAAGGATATTCTCGGCGCGGAGTTGCTTGATGGTTTCCTCACAGTGCCGAAGCTGCTCCTGTAGCTCCGCGTCTCCCACCCCGTTCTCTTCGGCGTCCTCCTCCTCGTCGTCGTCGTTCTTGAAGCGGGTGTGAACTGGCTTCGGGGTTGACTCCTCTTGAGGGTCAAACGCCTCGAATAACTCTAGATCGCCAAAATCCAAACCAGCGGCCATTTTGAGCTGTGGGAAAAAGTCGAGGAGGGCAGGGGCGAAGGTTGGAGGGCCGCACAGCTCTCCCTGGAGGCTTTTCTCCACACGCAGGCCTCCAAAGCCACTCTAGAGGCGGGACCTACCAGAAGACTACAACTCCCAGAATGCCACGGTCTTCTCGTGTCTCCGATCGACTGGGTTCCGGAGCGTGGCGTTCTGGGATATGTGGTTTCTAAGCGACCGAACCTATGGTTTGCATTGCATACTGGGATTGATCGTTTTTTAAAACGATTCCGAATGAGTTAAAACAATACGGATTCTTCCCGTTAGGCGTCCAGAGCTGAAGAATCAGAGCCCGGTACATGCTTTATGACAAATTGTGGTGCGTTTGCCCCACGTCAAAAAGACAAAATAGGAACTCTAGCTTTGCGACTGGCGACAAATTTGCTCGTAGACACAAGCCACTTCAGTTTATTGTACTTGTTTCATTTTTAAATGAAAGTAAGTAAAATTAGGTCATTATATCGTTTTAGATTTCTCTGAAGAGGCTTTTTTATGGGCTCATCATTCATTCGATATAAATTCACTGCCTTTAATGTGTTAGACACTTCTCTAGACCAGTGTACTGATGTCTGCTCTCATAAAACAGAAAACCCTATAATTATGTTTGTTTTCTTGTTTGAATGGATATTCGCCATCACACATTAAAAACACAGGAAATTATAACGTGCAACAAGGAAACAATATAGTCAGCTTGCACCATATTCAGAATCAGTAATTCCAGGCCATCTTCAGGGACAGTGCTTGTAGTAAGCCTGGGATACATGAAATATCTTGTCTATCCTCCCTTCTTGAAAGAAAAAGAAAGAATAAAAGAAGAAAAAATATCCTGTTGGTGCCTGTCATTGAAAGGAAGAACTTGAACTGAAATATGAAAAAAGTGGGCAACTTGGGGGCCAGGGTAGAGAAGAACACGAAGATAAAAGCAGTGGGTGAACAAGATGAATCTGGAACATTAGTCAAGTTCTCCTAGACTGCCTACCAGCTAAAGCCATTTAAACAGACAGCACGTTTGTAATAGCAAACTTACCTTTTGATGAGGTAGTCTTGATTAAAGGATGGGGAACAAACAAGATAAAAGAGTCTATCAGATTCATAGGTTTTCATAGTAAAGTAGGAAATTGTAGTTTACGAGGACTGGGTGAGGGTGGGGTCCTAGAGATTGTAGCTCAGCAGCTGAACTTCTGATTTGCATGACACGGAGGATATATGCTCCAGTATTTGGAAAATAGATAAGGAGAAATAGAAAATATTTAAAAGATAAGCCGGGCGACGGTGGCGCACGCCTTTAATCCCAGCACTCGGGAGGCAGAGGTAGGCGGATCTCTGTGAGTTCGAGACCAGCCTGGTCTACAGAGCTAGTTCCAGGACAGGCTCCAAAGCCACAGAGAAACCCTGTCTCGAAAAAAAAAAAAAACAAAAAAAAATATTTAAAAGATAAAAAAGCAGAGTGTTGGTTAAAAGCATTGAGAGACAGGATAGTATGTGGTTGCCAGGATTATCTTTCTTCTCTCTCTCGTTTTTCTTTCTTTCTTTCTTTCTTTTTTTTTTTGGTTTTTTTTTTTTTTTGAGACAGGGTTTCTCTGTGGCTTTGGAGCCTGTCCTGGAACTAGCTCTGTAGACCAGGCTGGTCTCGAACACACAGAGATCCGCCTGCCTCTGCCTCCCAAGTGCTGGGATTAAAGGTGTGCGCCACCATCGCCCGGCTTCTCGTTTGTTTTTCAAGACAGGGTTTCTCTGTGTAGCTTTGGCTGTTCTGGAACTCATTCTATAGACCAGGCTGGCCTACAATGTCACAAAGATCTGCCTACCTCTGTCTCTTGAGCGCTGGGGATTAACAGCGTGTGCCACCACTGCCCAGCATAAATGGTGGGAAAGTTTTGGGAATGATTTTATTTTGATGTGATATCTTGAGGCAATTTATCCAAAGGTAATAGAGAAAAAACTAGACTTGTGGAAGATGTACTGTTTTTTTTAAAAAAATATTTATTATGTATACAACATTCTGCCTCGATGTATGCCCACATGCCAGAGGAGGGCGCCAGATCTCATTACAGATGGTTGTGAGTCACCATGTGGTTGTTGGGAATTGAACTCAGGACCTCTTGGAAGAGCAGCCAGTGCTCTTAACCTCTGAGCCATCTCTCCAGCCCGGAAGATGTACTTTTAAAAAAATCTTTTTTAGTGGTGTTAGGTATTAAATTCAGGACCTTGTACACTTTAGTCAAAAGTGGAGCTAGAGGGCTGGAGAGATGGCTCAGTGGTTAAGAGCATTGCCTGCTCTTCCAAAGGTCCTGAGTTCAATTCCCAGCAACCACATGGTGGCTTACAACCATCCTTAAAGAGGTCTGGTGCCCTCTTCTGGCCTGCAGACATGCACACAGACAGAATATTATATACACAATAAATAAATAAATATTTTAAAAAAAAGTGGAGCTAGAACTGGGTGGGTAGTGGTAGCCCATGCCTTTAATCCCAGCACTGGGGAAGCAGAGGCAGGCGGATCTCTAAGTTTGAAGCCAGCCTGGTCTAAAGAGCGAATCCTAGGATAACCAAACCTACACAGAGAAACCCTGTTTAGAAAAAAAAAAAAAAGTAAGGGTTGGGCATTACTTACTTGAACATGGGTGACTTGCAGGTAGCTTCGACACCAAAGTTTTATTCCCAATGATTTTTTTTTAAGGTCTTGCTAGTGTATAAACTGACTGACATGATGGAAACGTAGCATGGTTAAGAGGAAAGTTTTTTACTGGGAATATGAGGGAGAGATCAGTCAGCAGCAGCATTTGGAGGAGTCCAGAGCAGGGAGAGTACACTGAACAGAATATGGCTAACAAACTTGATATGGCCGGAGCTGTCTGCAAAGAGAGGGGAGAGAGAATAAAGTAGAGAGAGACTAGCAGCAGCAGAGCGAACATAGAATAGCAGGGCTATAAGGGTAGGGCAGTGGTGGTGCACACCTTTAATTTTAGTGCTTGGGAAGCAGAGGCAGATTTAACTCTGTGAGTTCAAGGCCATCATAGTGTAGAGAGCTAGTTCCAGGGTAGCCAGGACACAAGAGAAATCCAGTTTGAGGTGGGGTGAGGGGGAAGAATAAGAAGTAGCTAGCCAGAGTTGGGGGAGATTTGAAGTGGAGGGGAGGTGGTGGGAAGACTAGGACGGACTTTGAAATGTTACAGGTACAGTTACTTGTGATTACAACATGTGCTTTGATATGCTAATAGGTACCACAGGTAGCCACAGGTTCCTTTGCCAGAGGTAAGGAAAATGGATTCCTTTTGGAGTGGGTTAATGAAGGGAAAAAAAGCCTTGTAACTAAAAAAAATCTACGTGCTGGGTGGTGGTAGTACATGCCTTTAATCCCAGCACTCATGAGGCAGAGGAAGGTAGATCTCTGAGTTTGAGACCAGCTTGGTTCACAAGAGTTCCAGGATAGCCAGGGCTATACAGAGAAACTCTGTCATAAATCAAAGTCTTATGCATTTAGCATTTCAAGTAGTAAATAGAGCTGGGGGAATGGTTTTATTTGCGATGATGGTCTTAGAAGACTTTTGAGATCTTATCATATACCCTGGTTAATATGGTGCTAGGGATCAAGACCATGGCTAGACAAAGGTAGCAACTGTGCTACATTCCCCAGGTCCTTTGGAGTTGCCTGGGGCAATCTTCCTGTCCTAGCCTCCCTAGGGATCACATTCTAGCACCTGAACCTTCCTAAGCTTGCTGGAAGAGAGAATTTTAATAGCTCCTTTATCACAGGCCTCTCTTGCACTAGAAGGTCTTTATAACTTTACCACAATGGTTAAGTCAAGAACAAAGGACAAAACATGTGGCTGGGCACATTAGGGACTTGGATTTCTAGGTTAAGCATAGAGCAGCTGAGTTTAAGACTAACATTCAGTTTACCCTTGTTTTTACAGAGTATGTATATAGGTGTTGGGTTAGTGATCAGAAACTACAGAAAGGAGCTAATGGGATGTGTGGGAGAATGAAAGGATTCTCATTTAAACTAAACACATGGTTACCCTTTATCCTTTTGCTGTGCACATCAGCCAGGTCCTGTATAGCCAGGTCTGTGGTTGGAGGAAAGCATGAGGATTAAGAAATGGCAAGTAGGGGCTGGAGAGATGGCTCAGCGGTTAAGAGCATTGCCTGCTCTTCCAAAGGTCCCGAGTTCAATTCCCAGCAACCACATGGTGGCTCACAACCATCTGTAATGAGATCTGGCGCCCTCTTCTGGCCTGCAGGCACACATGGAAGCAGACTATTGTATACATAATAAATAAATATTTAAAAAAAAAAAGAAATGGCAAGTAGAAAAAATAAAGACAGAAAAGAGAGACATGGATCAGGTGTACCATGTGTGTGCAGTGATCATGGTTAGAAGGTATCTATCAGAAAAAAAGATACAGGAGCTGAAGAGATGGCTCAGTGGTTAAGAGCATTGCTTGCTCTTCCAAAGGTCCTGAGTTCAATTCCCAGCAACCACATGGTGGCTCACAACCATCTGTAATGAAGTTTGGTGCCCTCTTCTGGCCTGCAGACATACAGACAGAATATTGTACATATAATAAATATTTTAAAAAAAAGATACAAAAGACAGAGACATGGATATGTGTACCATATGTGTGCAGTGATCGTGGTTAGAAGAGGGTGTCTTGTCAGAACCCAGGTAACCTGAAGTAGTAAGCTGCCATGTACTAGAACAGAATCCCAAGTTTTCTGTAAGAGCAGCAAAGACTATTGAGTCATCTCTTCAGCCTCATTTGTGAGACAAGTCTTTTGAGACTGGGTTTCTTCAGATAAAGGTTGGGTCAGCATATCTAGCTCAAAACTAATTCTACTTGCAAGTATGCCTAAGGTAATTCCTCCCTGTAGCTACTTAAGTTACTCTAACTGGATCTTCCTTACATTAACACACATATCAGTTTGGACTGCCACTCAGCTCCTCAAAGTTGTTTCTAGTCAGGCGGTGGTGGTGCATGACTTTAATTTCAGCACTTAAGAGGCAGAGGCAGGAAGTCTGGTCTACAAAGTGAGCGCCAGAACAGCCATG